TTCATTTCCATATCATGTGTTTAGATTGAAGAAGGCCATGTACGGATTGAAACAAGCTCCAAGAGCTTGGTATGAAAGATTGACTGAATTTCTAGTCAGTCATGGATACAAGAAGGGTGGAATTGACAAGACTCTCTTTGTCAAAGATGAAGCTGGAAAAGTTGTTGATAGCTTAGATCTATGTGGATGAAATTGTTTTTGGAGGAATGTCGAATGACATGGTCCAACATTTTGTGAAACAGATGCAATCTGAATTTGAGATTAGCTTGGTAGGCGAACTGACTTATCTCCTTGGATTGCAAGTCAAGCAGATGGAAGATTCCATCTTTCTCCGTCAGAGCAAATATGCCATAAGTATTGTGAAGAAGTTTGGGTTGGAAAATGCCAACCATAAAAGAACTCTAGCTCCTACACACCTGAAGCTATCCAAAGATGAAAAAGGGGTTAGTGTTGATCAAAGTTTGTATAGAAGCATGATTGGCAGCCTTCTATATCTTATTGCTAGCAGACCAGACATCATGTTTATTGTTGGAGTATGTGCAAGATATCAAGTTAAACCTAAGGTAAGTCACATTAATCAAGTAAAGGGGATTTTGAAGTATGTGAATGGAACATGTGACTATGGTATGATGTACTCTCATGATACAAATTCATCATTGGTGGGATTTTGTGATGCTGATTGGGCTGGAAGTGCTGATGATAGAAAGAGTACTTCTAGAGGATGTTTCTTTATGGGAAACAAGTTGATTTCTTTTTACTGCTGAAGCTGAGTACATTGTAGCCGGAAGTAGTTGTTCTCAACTGGTGTGGATGAAGCAAATTTTGTCTGAATACAATGTCACACAAGATGCTATAACATTGTTTTGCAACAATTTGAGTGCTTTAAATATTTCCAAAAATCCTATTAAGCATAGTAGGACCAAGAACATTGACATAAGACATCACTTCATTAGAGAACTTGTGGAGGACAAAGTCATTAAACTTGAGCATGTAAAAACTGAGAATCAGCTTCCTGATATCTTTACAAAAGCTCTTGATGTTGCTCAGTTCGAGAACTTAAGGAGGAGACTTGGGATTTGTGTCTATGAAGAGATATATCAATTATTGTTGGTGTTGCACCTTGTGTTGAGGTGGCTGAGTATGGTGTTGCACCTAATGAACGTTCTGCCAATTCTTTCGAGGAAAAGGAAGATGCTAATGCATGACAGCTGCTCGTGGGATTTTGTTTGGGTCTACCTTGTGATCCTTTTTATTTTGGTTTATGATAATGTAAGGGCTAAATTCCCAAGATATTTTTAAACTTTTGAACCCTGACTCTATAACTTTAGGTGCTAATTTATTTTTTGCTAATATTGTCTATTTTCCTTTGTCATATTATGGCTACAAAGGGGGAGTAGTATGATATTAAGGGTGTTGGAAATGGCACTTACTGAGGGGGAGAATTTTCTAATTCTCTGGTTGTGATAACAGGTTTTAAGAGGGAGTTCCTGCTTGTTTATGAAGAAGGTGTCAGATAGTGTTTTCTTGATATCATGGAATGATATGCTGGTGGGTGAACTTAAGTGTTCTCTATTTTTGCAGCTATGTTAGTAAATCAACTAACTACTAACTATGTGTGTGCTGCTATTTTCTGTGCTACTAACCTTGCTTAATTGTTTTTCCGCTGTTGTGCCTCTAATATATATGTTTGATTTATTTTCAAGCATATCTTTTTTGTGCAAAGAATGTTTAAGTGTTTTAGCCAAAATGTGCCAAAGGGGGAGATTTCTATTTCTCTGAAATTATGTTTGGCGTACATTTTGGTAAAACCACTTTAGCAGCAACATGTTGAACAAGATGTTCCAACATTTTGTTTCAACATGTCGAGTAAGATGTCCTAACAAGGAGATATGACATCCAAGATTGATTGGTCAGAATATTATTTGATTGGTTTCAAAGATTTGATCAGTTTCTAAATATGGAGATTATTAGGAAACTAATGATTGAAGACCTATTTTCTTGGAGGACTTTTTGCAGACTTTATGCAGTCTCATTGTTGTGATTTTGAAGCCCAACCCAGTCTAGAATAAAGTTATAAATAGACTAGTGTATACCTAGTATTAGGTAGAACTTACGTGTGTTTTTTTAGGGTTGTAGAATACTTATTTTTGTGAGCCTCTCTGATATCATCTTGATAGAAGAGTGGGATAGTTTTGTTGGGTTGTAAGTTCTCTTTTTAGATGTTCATAAGATTTTAAGCATTGAACATAGTGTGTGTCAATTCTCATAAGCTTTTAAGCATTGATTCTTTCATGTTTTGGAAGTATAGCTTCCAGTTGGTTTTTGTTCTCTACTTGTGTTTAGAGTTTGCTCCAATTGCTGAGTGTAATTGAAGATAGATTTGAGGAGTGCCTCATACCTAGGTGTGTCTTAGGTAGAATTTAAGCAAAGGGTAGTGATTAAGTGCATAGACTATAAACTAGAGGTTTGATGTAAGGTCTGCAAATTGATACTATCTAGTTGATTTCGTCCCTGACTTGGTAGTCCCTAGAGTAGGAAAGTTTTTCCGAACTGTTAAACATATCTTATGTTATTTACTTTCAGAACTACTATTTTTTTATACATCTTGTTGTTATGTGTGATGTTGGATCCGGTGTCTCGACATCTCGTAGGACATCTAGGATCTGATAGCAAAAATTTCATCTATTATCAAAAGAAACAAGTTTTTGGCGCCGTTGTCAGGGAGTGTTTTTGTTACATTTCTGGTTTATTAATATTCATTATTATTTCTTTGTTTTTAAGCATTTATGCCTTTAACGTTTGCTGTAATTTGGTGTCACGACAAGTTTTGAGCTATTGTATGCATAGGCCGTAATGAAACAACCGGCTGAAAATCATCAAAACAATAAAGTCGCCATCGAACGTCTTTTATCCCACATGAAGGGAAAGTTAAACATCGAGGAAACCTGAAAAGGGTGAAATCAAGGTCGAACGACCAAGAGATGAGGGTAAGGGAGTCTGTTACGCGAGGGGAAGGTATTAGCACCCCACACGCCCGTAGTACTCTATGGTATCCACTCTTGTCGTCTATCTTTTGGGTGTGTTTAATCTATGCTTACTGTTTACTATAATACTGGAAGGGAATGCATGCAAAAGAAGAAAAAAAAGAGGGGAAAAGAATGTAGGGAAAATAAAAGTTGTGCTCGTTCGGGCCCTACCCCGATGCCTACGTATCCCTTTTAAGGAATCGGAGCAGCCGTAGTTTGGCTTATGTTTTTGTTTGTTTGTATTTTTTTTAATGAACAGTATTAATCTCGCCTTCTGCCGCAACTCGACCTTTGGAGACTTACGCGTCAGCACAAAAGTGAATTAACATGCTCTCTTGAAAAGTTTGGAAAGAAATGTACCTGGACGCACAAAAGTTGAATTTGTTTGTTTTTGAATGAACGATAGTAATTTCTCCTTCTGCCGCAACTCGGCCTTTGGAGATTTACACGTCAGCACAGAAGTGAATTAATACGCTCTTTTGAAAAGGGTTTGAAAGAAAGGCCCGAGGGCAAAAAAGATTTTTATGCTTGTTGGTGTTTTTCGCTTGTAGAGAATAACTAGTTAATCTCAAGGGAGAGATTTTAGCCACGTCTCTACTTAGCCATGAAAGGGGTCTTTGAGAAGTTGACCACACCTATGCTTGAGATGGAGAACAATAAGATCAAGAAGAGACCCGCTTATCGTTTCCCGTACTAAGCAAAAGCATGATTCTCATCATTAGTTTTAAAGTGTTTTGAATTTCGAAAAAAAAAAGTTTTAGTTTTAGGTGCGAATGCAAAAGGAAAAAGAAAAGTCAACTGGGGACTAGCCTACTTCTAAACCTAATGTTATTATGTATTGTTAGACCTAAAGTTAGAAATTTGAGGGATGCTACCTAATGTTAGCATGCATATGGATTGCGATAAAGTAAGAATAAAATAGAGTTGTGACAATACCGAACGGAGAAGGTCCGTTGCCTCTTTGACGCCACGCAAGTGATAATAAAATTCTACCAAAGTTTCCTCGAACGAGTGATTGAAGAATTAACCCCGAGCATTCCACATTGCAAGAATTACATCGATGCTATCACAAAAATCTTGACTAAAAATGGCAATAAAAATGATTACCAAATATGAAAAAATAAAATAGTGAAAAGAAACTCTAATCGAGATTCTAAAAAGAAATTCTAAAGAGTTCTAAAATATTCTACCACTTTTTTATCATTATTTTTTATATGGAGAAAATTCTAACAAACAAACAAGAAATAATTTCTAAATAAAAAAAAACTAACAAGTTTTTTATGGATTTTAGAATTTTATCATAAAAAAAGAAATAGACAAAATTATATGCAAAAAATAAAATCTTAAAGATTATGAGGACAGGGGTGTAGTATTGAAATCAGGGTATCTGACTAATATTAGGTGCTAGGCCCATCCTGTAATGTCCAATAAGCCCTTTTTTATTTATAGCTTCAGCAAAAAACAACTTCCAAAAAAATATAGCCATGGGCCTATGGAGGAGTATCATTCGGCCCAGGCCATTATCTCAACCCACCAGATCCTCCACAATTTATTATTTGTTTGCGTTTGAATAATAAAACAAGCATAATCAACAAAAACAAAATTAGAAAAGGGATACGTGAAGATTAGTGTTGCATTTTGTGATTGTCCAGCTTCTCACGAGAACAAAGTTCTCTTCGTCTTCTCGAACTTGCAACCGCGGTGGCTGAAACTTCTCTTCGTCATTCTCAATCTTCTCCGTTTCATCAGACTCTCTCCTCCACTCGCAATTTCATTGTCCATCTCCTCTTTGAATCATAAGCTTTGAAGATATAAAAACCTAAAAGCTGAATCACATCCTCCTCGTGTCCAATCAAAACTCAGGACCTTGGGGATCCAACTCCGATATGCTTGAGCTATGCCATAACATGAAGAAATAGATGGAAGAAGCAGAAGAATACCGAAGATCAGAACTCACCGACCGGAGAAAGTCTGATGCCATCTTGGCAGCGTCAACAAACAGAAATCCAGAGATTGACTTCTAGGTATGAATCTCCAGTCTCTCTCCACTCTTCTTGTCTCCGTTTCAATACGGTTATGTTGCTAATTACTGTTGCATCTTTGTTGTTGTTGAAGTTGGGAATCGGTCACGATAATCCTCAATCTAGGTGCGTTGCATAGATTGATAAGGAAGAGGCCTGAAGACAGTTAAGGTTGCAGATTCGTTGATGAAGATCTTTGAAGGTTGATGAACGATTTGCAGAAGAAATCGCTATGTGGAGAAATTGGTAGTTGAATTAGAAGTGATGTTGGGGAGCTTTGAAACGAATGAGAATTGATTAGCTCAAAGGAGGATGATGAAGGTGCAGAGAAGAGCATCATGACAGAGAGAGTTTGATCATTTTTTCCGTCATTTTTTCGAAGAGTTGAAGAAGGAAGCAGAGAGAAGCTGGTGATTCTTCTGGAAATGATTGATAATGAATCCCTTTCTGGTGAGTTTTCCAGGGATAAATATTCTGACTCTTTTTGTTTTTTTCAATCGCCCAATCTCCCTGTATTCTGTGTATCTTGTGATTGTTGGCGGTAAATTTGTAATTGTAGCGGTGATGATGATGAAGTGTTGGGAATATTTGCATAGAATTCCTAGAGAGGATGAAGATGTTGTGATGGTTGTTGATTGAAGGTTGACGATGAAGAAGGAAAGTGAAGATTGAAGGTGGAGGTTGTGGTGTGGGAGGTTCTGTGAGTATGTGTTCAGCAAGAGATGAAGAGTGAAGTTGTTGAAAGGTGGGGGTAGGAGAATATGTTAAAGAAGATGAATGAAGAAAATAAGGAAAAAAATCCGTTGAGAGAAGAGGTTGCAGAGAGAACTTATGGAGAGGGTGAAGAGTGAAGAGAAGAGTTCTTCATCCTCTTGGTGAGTTCTCTGTTCTCAGCCTTTTGTACCAGTTTATCAATAATTGTATATGTGTGTATCGTCTTTGTATGAATCCCCCCCTGTTATATAGCTCTCAAAATCTGTTAGAAATTGTGCATTCTTGGCCACTGGATTAAAATTAGTTGGTTAGGTAATGAATGGTTGATATGATTTCGGTTAGAGCAGTTAGCTGTTAGTTTTTGTTACAAGTTAGTTGGAAATTCTGTTAGTTGGGCTATTTGCAGTTTGGGAAGTAGTTTGTTAGAAAATTTATGTTAGAATTCTGTTAGAAAGTTTTGGTTAGAAGTTTTTAGTTCCTAAGCTGTTGAGCTGAACTGTTTTAATTAATTTTCTACTTTCCAACTTTCTATGCAGTTTGTTTTCTGTTTTTTTCGGTTATTGCAGTTAGAGAGTTTGTTAGTTTTGGTTCTGATTGTTACAAATTCTTAGAACTGAACTGTTAACTGTTATTGATTTTTTCTTTTTAATCTTTCTATGCAGGGCTGAACCGTGGACGGGCTAGGAGTTCCCTCCATAACCGGCATGCACACGTCCATCAGAACCAAGTCATAAGTACAGCGTTGTACTGCTCGCACGGCTTCAGCTCCATTAGTGACAACATCAATGTTATGACCCAACTGCTTCATCATGGATTGTGTCACCATGATGTTGATCTTGTTATCTTCCACAAGAAGGATCTTAGGCTTAGATATGGATTTGGGTTACTTCTGATTTACTACTTCTCCTAACACATTGAGTAGTTGTGTTTACCACCATATTCTGAGAAGAATCTGCACTATCATTTTGAAACCATGCATGAGTATTATACAAATGATGTTTATTACTAGATGAACTAGCTGATTTAGACATGTCTGAGGCGTCAACAACTGAAGATGAGTCATCGAAAGAACACGTCCCTTTTGATATGATGTCATTAGAAATAGCGGGAAATGAGAATGAACTCTCGGAAAATCCACTGAATTTGTGTGGCGATAGCTTGTGAGTTCGGTTTGTGTGGAATTGGAAGAAACCTTCTGTTGTTGTATCATCAGAAGCGGCTTCGTTATGCTTCATGTCTGAGAATTCATCGGAGAAATCAGAACTATCACAAGCAATTGAGACCCTGTATGGCAGAATGAATTTGAAAGTAGAACAACATGGTTCTACTTTCACATTCATTCTGCCATACAGGGTCTCAATTGCTTGTGATAGTTCTGATTACTCTGATGAATTCTCAGACATGAAGCATAACGAAGCCGCTTCTGATGATACAGCAACAGAAGGTTTCTTCCAATTCCACACAAACCGAACTCACAAGCTATCGCCACACAAATTCAGTGGATTTTCCAAGAGTTCATTCTCATTTCCTGCTATTTCTAATGACATCATATCAAAAGGGACGTGTTCTTTCGATGACTCATCTTCAGTTGTTGACGCCTCAGACATGTCTGAATCAGCTAGTTCATATAGTAATAAACATCATTTGTATAACACTCATGCATGGTTTCAAAATGATAGTGCATATTCTTCTCAGAATATGGTGGTAAACACAACTACTCAATGTGTTAGGAGAAGTAGTAAATCAGAAGTAACCCAAATCCATATCTAAGCCTAAGATCCTTCTTGTGAAAGATAACAAGATCAACATCATGGTGACACAATCCATGATGAAGCAGTTGGGTCATAACATTGATGTTGTCACTAATGGAGCTGAAGCCGTGCGAGCAGTCCAACACTGTACTTATGACTTGGTTCTGATGGACGTGTGCATGCCGGTTATGGAGGGAACTCCTAGCCCGTCCACGGTTCAGCCCTGCATAGAAAGATTAAAAAGCAAAAATCAATAACAATTAACAGTTCAGTTCTAAGAATTTGTAACAATCAGAACCAAAACTAACAAACTCTCTAACTGCAATAACCGAAAAAAACAAAACAAACTGCATAGAAAGTTGGAAAGTAGAAAATTAATTAAAACAGTTCAGCTCAACAGCTTAGGAACTAAAAACTTCTAACCAAAACTTTCTAACAGAATTCTAACATAAATTTTCTAACAAACTACTTCCCAAACTGCAAATAGCCCAACTAATAGAATTTCCAACTAACTTGTAACAAAAACTAACAGCTAACTGCTCTAACCGAATTCATCTCAACCATTCATTACCTAACCAACTAATTTTAATCCAGTGGCCAAGAATGCACAATTTCTAACAGATTTTGAGAGCTATATAACAGGGGGGATTCATACAAAGAGGATACACACATATACAATTATTGATAAACTGGTACAAAAGGCTGAGAACAGAGAACTCACCAAGAGGATGAAGAACTCTTCTCTTCACTCTTCACCCTCTCCATAAGTTCTCTCTGCAACCTCTTCTCTCAACGGATTTTTTTCCTTATTTTCTTCATTCATCTTCTTTAACATATTCTCCTACCCCCACCTTTCAACAACTTCACTCTTCATCTCTTGCTGAACACATACTCACAGAACCTCCCACACCACAACCTCCACCTTCAATCTTCACTTTCCTTCTTCATCGTCAACCTTCAATCAACAACCATCAAAACATCTTCATCCTCTCTAGGAATTCTCTGCAAATATTCCCAACACTTCATCATCATCACCGCTACAATTACGAATTTACCGCCAACAATCACAAGATACACAGAATACAGGGAGATTGGGTGATTGAAAAAAACAAAAAAAGTCAGAATATTTATCCCTGGAAAACTCACCAGAAAGGGATTCATTGTCAATCATTTTCAGAAGAATCACCAACTTCTCTCTGCTTCCTTCTTCAACTCTTCGAAAAAATGACGGAAAAAATGATCAAACTCTCTCTGTCATGATGCTCTTCTCTGCACCTTCATCATCCTCCTTTGAGCTAATCAATTCTCATTCGTTTCAAAGCTCCCCAACATCACTTCTAATTCAACTACCAATTTCTCCACATAGCGATTTCTTCTGCAAATCGTTCATCAACCTTCAAAGATCTTCATCAACGAATCTGCAACCTTATCTGTCTTCAGGCCTCTTCCTTATCAATCTATGCAACGCACCTAGATTGAGGATTATCGTGACCGATTCCCAACTTCAACAACAACGAAGATGCAACAGTAATTAGCAACATAACCGTATTGAAACGGAGACAAGAAGAGTGGAGAGAGACTGAATATTCATACCTAGAAGTCAATCTCTGGATTTCTGTTTGTTGACGCTGCCAAGATGGCATCAGACTTTCTCCGGTCGGTGAGTTCCGATCTTCGGTATTCTTCCGCTTCTTCCATCTATTTCTTCATGTTATGACATAGCTCAAGCATATCGGAGTTGGATCCCCAAGGTCCTGAGTTTTGATTGGACACGAGGAGGATGTGATTCAGCTTTTAGGTTTTTATATCTTCAAAGCTTATGATTCAAAGAGGAGATGAACAATGAAATTGCGAGTGGAGGAGAGAGTCTGATGAAACGGAGAAGATTGAGAATGACGAAGAGAAGTTTCAGCCACCGCGGTTGCAAGTTCGAGAAGACGAAGAAAACTTTATTCTTGTGAGAAGCTGGACAATCACAAAATGCAACACTAATCTTCACGTATCCCTTTTCTAATTTTGTTTTTGTTGATTATGCTTGTTTTATTATTCAAACGCAAACAAATAATGAATTGTGGAGGATCTGGTGGGTTGAGATAATGGCCTGGGCCGAATGATACTTCTCCATAGGCCCATGGCTATATTTTTTTGGAAGTTGTTTTTTGCTGAAGCTATACAAAAAAAAGGGCTTATTGGACATTACAGGATGGGCCTAGCACCTAATATTAGTCAGATACCCTGATTTCAATACTACACCCCTGTCCTCATAATCTTTAAGATTTTATTTTTTGCATATAATTTTGTCTATTTCTTTTTTTATGATAAAATTCTAAAATCCATAAAAAACTTGTTAGTTTATTTTGATTTAGAAATTAATTCTTGTTTGTTTGTTAGAAATTTCTCCATATAAAAAATAATGATAAAAAAGTGGTAGAATATTTTAGAACTCTTTAGAATTTCTTTTTAGAATCTCGATTAGAGTTTCTTTTCACTATTTTATTTTTTCATATTTGGTAATCATTTTTATTGCCATTTTTAGTCAAGATTTTTGTGATAGCATCGATGTAATTCTTGCAATGTAGAATGCTCGGGGTTAATTCTTCAATCACTCGTTCGAGGAAACTTTGGTAGAATTTTCTTATCACTTGCGTGGCATCGAAGAGGCAACGGACCTTCTCCGTTCGGTATCGTCACAACTCTATTTTATTCTTACTTTATCGCAATCCATATGCATGCTAACATTAGGTAGCATCCCTCAAATTTCTAACTTTAGGTCTAACAATACATAATAGCATTAGGTTTAGAAGTAGGCTAGTCCCCAGTTGACTTTTCTTTCTCCTTTTGCATTCGCACCTAAAACTAAAACTTCTTTTTTTTTTTCTTTTCGAAATTCAAAACACTTTAAAACTAATGATGAGAATCATGCTTTTGCTTAGTACGGGAAACGATAAGCGGGTCTCTTCTCGATCTTATTGTTCTCCATCTCAAGCATAGGTGTGGTCCACTTCTCAAAGACCTCTTTCATGGCTAAGTAGAGACGTGGCTAAAATCTCTCCCTTGAGATTAACTAGTTATTCTCTACAAGCGAAAAACACCAACAAACATAAAAATCTTTTTTGCCCTCGGGCCTTTCTTTCAAACCCTTTTCAAAAGAGCGTATTAATTCACTTCTGTGTTGACGCGTAAATCTCCAAAGGTCGAGTTGCGGCAGAAGGCGAAATTACTATCGTTCATTCAAAAACAAACAAATTCAACTTTTGTGCGTCCAGGTACATTTCTTTCCAAACTTTTCAAGAGAGCACGTTAATTCACTTCTGTGCTGACGCGTAAGTCTCCAAAGGTCGAGTTGCGGAAGAAGGCGAGATTAATACTGTTCATTAAAAAAAATACAAACAAACAAAAACATAAGCCAAACTACGGCTGCTCTGATTCCTTAAAAGGGATACGTAGGCATCGGGGTAGGGCCCGAACGAGCACAACTTTTATTTTCCCTACATTCTTTTCCCCTCTTTTTTTTTCTTTTGCATGCATTCCCTTCCAGTAGTATAGTAAACAGTAAGCATAGATTAAACACACCCATAAGATAGACGACAAGAGTGGATACCGTAGAGTACTACGGGCGTGTGGGGTGCTAATAACTTCCCCTCGCGTAACAGACTCCCTTACCCTCATCTCTTGGTCGTTCGACCTTGATTTCACCCTTTTCAGGTTTCCTCGATGTTTACCTTTCCCTTCATGTGGGATAAAAGACGTTCGATGGCGACTTCATTGTTTTGATGATTTTCAGCCGGTTGTTTCAGCTGGCGACTTCACTAGGGATCTGGTCGACCAAATGCTGGTCCGTCCCGAAGTCGCTCCTATCTCTTGCTTTCTTTTCTTTGGGTGTTTATTTTTATGCTTTCAGTTTACTCATTTGTACATGTTTGCCTGAGCATAAGTTTGCATTGCATTTTATTGCTTTCCCTATTTGTTATCTATTATGCTGGACTCTGTTTTCCATGGTTGGTGGGGATGTCACTATTGAGGTAAAAGGCCCAGTACCCAGGCCAGAGTGCACTAGGACACTAGGAATAGAGTGGGGGCATGACGGCTATAGGACGTGGTCCGATTAGTGCAGTCTTGTCATATACCATGCTCGGATGAGGTTCAAATGAATTACTATCGGCACCCACGTCTGTGGGTAAGCCCATAGCACTTTCAGGCGAACCCGTGATTTTCGAGTTACCATTGTCTTACCCTGATCTAGTCTTCACCCGTGAGCGGGGAGGGAATTCTTATTACAGGTACAGTTGGTGACTATGTTCAAATGGTTACTCGTGCTCAGATGCTGACTATGTTCAGATGGTTACTCATGTTCAGATGGAGACTGTGATCAGATGGTGATTAGTGGTTCTAATGATCATGTTATGGACTTCTGTCAATGACTTATGCATATGGTGTTCTGTTGGTGACCATATGGTTCTCAGATTTATTTTCTGAGTTCCTGACTTGCTTACTTGGAAGTTCATTCAAGCCTTTGATCTTGGCATTCCCAGCATACTCAGAAATGCTCAAACAGTACCTGATGTTCTTGAAGCCTTGATCTCATGCTACTTAGATCTACATAGTACTCGGCTTTTATATGTGCGGAAGCTATGCCGGACCTTTGATTTGATGATATTCATATGGTTTAGAATAACGCAGCAATCATATTTGGAAATGATGGAACCTTGATCCCATTTGATCTCATATATGTGCATACATAACATGGTTAACCACATACTTAACATACATGTTCTGTGATTTCCAAGGAATCATATTTGTAAGCCTTGTGCCAAACTTTTCCATCCTTACTTACGTAAAATCAAAAACAAAGCACGTAAATTCGTTGGGAATGATGGAACATGACATGGCATCCGTTCATGCATCCCATGTATATTCATGCATCCATAACAGGTACTCAAGGATTGGGGATTCTTATTCAGACATGGTTCTCCTCAGAGGTTCAGCTTGATTCTTACTACCACATGCTCAGGGATCAGTTAGGGAATAACTCCATATGGTATACCTACAAGCTTCGGCCCGTGGACAGAAATATCTTCAAGCAGGAAGATAATTGATTGAAAACTCAGATGAGTCGGGTCATGAAAGCTCTGATGACGATGTCAACAATCTTGCACCTACTGTCACAGCAGGAGCTGGTTCCCATTTACTGTAGGATCTTATATCAGTGCTTCGTTCTTATTGACCAACGTCAGATGTGGTTGCCACACCGGGGCATCAGACTTTTTAATCAGGGGCATCCTCCATAACTTTGTGTTCCCTAAATTGTTCAACAAGAGCCAGTCTTTATTCCCCAAGTAAATTTATGGGGAAAGCTTTTAAGCCAAGACACGAGAACCCTGATGAACATGCTAATGCGAGCCCAATGCATTACATCCTATTATTCCCAGCCCTTCCTAGCTCTGATCTTTGAGGTCTTCCTCCCACAAACGTCTCTTCTGATTACAATATGTATGCTAGATGCATCTCTTATTCTGGGGTACCCGGTTTTGATATTGAAGACTATAAAGGGGTTATAAAAGCCCAACACCTGTTTGGCGTCTCTTCCATAACTCTCTTTCACCAGGTGGATGTCTCTTTTGTTTTGATAGAAGACAGACTGTATTAGTTTTTTGTGGCGTAGTATGCATGATGATGCAGTTTTCACTTGAAAAAGCATTCAGTTGTTCTCCTGAAAGAATCTTCTAGGCATATTATTCTGGGGCAATTGATCATTCGATTGAAGAGAGTACGTCATCTAGAGACGAGGTCTAAAACGAGATCAATCCGGAGACTGTGGTGTCCAAATCTGGGATTCTCTCACTCACCTCATGCATCTTCATGAACCTTCATGCACCCATAGCAGGTACTCAGAAGATTCAAGTTATGAAAAGAATCAGATGGGGTTGTTTATTAGGGGTACGCAAGCAATAGCCTGTAGTCAGAAATCCCCAAGAGGAAAAATAGCCAGTTGAAGACTTAATTGGGTCGGGTATGGAAGTTTTCAAGACAGTGTCGGCAAAGAAAAGTGATCATATATACGTTGTTGCAACAGGAGCTGTCATTCATCCCCAGCATATGGGACTTTTTTTTTCTTCAAATCATGAGATACTTTGTGGGTCTCACCCAGAGCTTCATGTTCTCGGATTTTCTTGCTAGCAGTTAGTTTCTAGTCTCCAAGTGAACCCATGGGGTAAAACTTACCAGCAGAGACAGAGAAAGCTTGAGAAGCAGGTTGATACAATCTCAATGCCTCGTATCCAGTTACTTCCTCGTATGTTAGAAGCTCAGTGGTTTAAGCTTTGTGCTTTGGGTCATCCTCCAACAAATTTCTCTCCTGATTTCGATACAAATACTAGATATGTCTCCCACTCTGGGGCACTTAGTTAGGATATTGAATACTGCAAGGGGTTGAAGTATGAAGTTTGGTACTTGTTTGGATTCTTTTCCAAGGTTCAGTCCATGTTTGGGAAAACCATTTCAGACTCTTTTTCCTCAGCTGATTGCTTCTTATGTG